GTATTCGTTACAAAAATTATTTCTTTATAAACAAATTTTTTTTTTGTAAAGATTGGAAAATAAGGGATTGGAAAAAATTTAGAAAACTAGCAAATAATCCTAAAATGTCACAATTACATTATAAGAAGAACTGCAAATTATAGCGTAAGAAATTAACAATAAACGAAAGTACATAAAGAAATAGAAAATTAAATATTTATACATGATGAAATATGAGATATTCATAAATTATGAAATATTTATAAATTATTATAACATTCTGATATAATGAAAGCTTCAGGTTAAATTCGTTTGTTACTTTAAAAAAAAAAATAAAAAAATAATTCAAATTCAATAGTTAATCTATTAATAATTAATAAGTAAAAAAGTAAAATAAAAAATTAAATATTTATACATGATGAAATATGAGATATTCATAAATTATGAAATATTTATAAATTATTTTGACATTCTGATATAATGAAAGCTTCAGGTTAAATTTGTTTCTTACTTAAAAAAGTAAAAAAACAATTCAAATTGAATAATTAATAAGTAAAAAAATAAAATAAAACCTTTGTCTTGATATAAACTAATTTTCATAATTGGTAACTATTTTTTTAACGAATAATAATTAATTCGAATTTTATCAACAATTATGCAGTATAAATTGAAGTTTACAATTTTGACTCACAATTCCAATCTGCGAATTAAATTGAATTAATCATCAATGAATTATACTTTTCAATGTCTATTATACCGCTACTTGTAATGTCAACGTATTTAAAATTACCACACGCATTCGTAGCATACTAATTATCAATTGTTAATGCAGTGAGGTATGCACATTGTTTCATATAATTATTTGAAGCATAAATTGTCACTCCTCTGACTACTAATTAATGTCGTTCGGTAAAGCAAGCGGATAAGAACCTCAATCGAAATTACGTATGCGCTAATATACATATGTATACTGTTAGAAAACATGTATGTATATGTGTAAACAGGTACCAACTAGTGGTTCAAATATTATTCTATTTATGTATATCATATTTGAAAAGATTTGAAGAAAAGTATTTTATAATTTTGTGATAACAATGTGTTTGAAAAAAATGTATAATTGATGCTTTTAATACAAAAAGTATCAACTTGCAAATATATAATTAAATATGATACATATATATAATAATAATTAAAGTATAATAATAAAATAAATAAAAATGTCGAATTATGTTTTTATCTGAATAAAAGTTAACATTAACTTTGATAAAAGCAGTTGTTAATTAACTGTGATATATATGCAATATATATATTCATAAAGTGAAAGTAGACATTTTAACTAGTTTGGTAGTCCTAGTGATAATTTTTAATGAAAGAAAATTACTAATTATAATTGTATTAATTAATTATATTTTTATTTAATTATATCTTTTGTTCAAAATGTTAAAATTCATTATTATTACTT